CTTAGTAAAAATTTAGCGAAACTAAAGGTTTTACCATTTTGCCAAATCCAAAATGAGTTTAGACAAGCAACCTTAGTCATAAATTAAATATGAAATTTATTAATTTAAAATTTTTAGTTTATAAGTAAATTTAAATTTTTTATTATATATTAAAAGATAAAACTTGTCATAATATAGATTGTAAGTAAATTAGAAAAGAATTTATCTGTAAACTCTTTTGATTTAAGGGATAATATTATAATATATGTTACAATTAATTTTAACTTATATTGTAATAAGTTATAAGTTTAAATTTAATTATTAAATCATAATGATTTAATTATTTTAACAGATGATTTTGTATCATTTGATTGAAACAATATTGAATTATTGAATTATTAATTAGAATAAATTTTATCATTCTTATTGAACAATTTTTATTATCTTATAGAAATGATAATTTGTATTATCCTTTTAAAATAATGATTTAATCATCCTTTTGGATAATAATTTGTATTGTTTTTGAAACAAACAATAAATAAAATCATTTCTCAGAATGATATATATTGTTTTTTTGTGATGATTTTTTTACAGAATGATATGATTGTTCCTTTGAAACAATTTTTTTAATCAGATGATTTTTGCATTATATAATTAGAACAATCAGTGTTGATTTTTGATTTAACTTCAATCAGTTTTATTTAAATTGATTTTTGATTAATGAAGATTATGTCTGATTGATGATTAATGAACAATTTATTACATATTAGATTTTTGATTTTGACTAGGAATAGAAACTTCAAAAGATTTCTATATATAATGTTATAAATTATAAAGTTTTATTCAAAAAAAAAATTAAATAAACTTATAGATTTAATAAAAAATTTTTAAAGTTAATAAATGAATTAAATTAAAATTTTATTACAGTAAATCTTTTTTTTTTTTGAATAATTTAATAATAAAGAATATTCAGAAAATAATTGTTAAACCGCAATTATCAAATTAAATTGATCGACATACGCTTAGCTAAAACTTTACTTGTCACATTTCGTAAATTACATTATTTATTTTCGTCACATGATAAATTAGGTGCTTTTGATGACAACTTTTTAAAAAATATGACAAATTTTAATTTGTATGTTACAAATAATATGTTTTGATTTACATGGACAGGAATGAATGAATTTAAAGTGGTGATTAGATTTTTTGTACGTAAAATATTTGAAACTTTAAAATATCATACGTTAAATCATGCAATTACAAAAGGAGAGATAGAAGAGATAATATATAATGAATTGAGAATAGTTAATATAATAAGATAGCATAACACCTCCATCATGACCCATTATTTTGAGAATTTTTCTCTTTTGCAACTTGCTGAGCAACAGGGTTGTTATTAAATCCTGTATACGTAAATGCGGCCTGCAAACTACTTTGATGAGTGGCCATAGTAACGTAGGGAGGACCAAGTAAATTTGAAGATAATGTTTGATTCCAAATTGTTTGTCCATCAAATAAATTGATCTTGTATAATCGTTTTCCACATCCAACCATTACAACATCAGGATTTGTGGAATCTAACATAAGACAAGGTAAATAATAACAACCACCCTTCAACTCGTTTTTCCAAAGCGTTTCTCCTAATTCTGCTCCTATTCCACACAATTTTCCGAAAGAAGCAACTAAAACGATAGAACCTTTAGATGAACTGGTATTGGCGACAAGTACTGAAACTTCGCTATATCTCATTCCCGATAACGGGTTTCTCCAAACCTCAGCCCCATCAGTCAAGTTCAGGGCGACTAAATGACCATTCATCCCAACGTAGGCTTTACTATCAGAAACAAATAATGCCCCAACACCGTATCCTACGCCCGAGAGCTTGGCAGTCCATACCCGTGCGCCGTCTGTTTTTTTGATAGCGTATACTTCTCCCACCGTAGAACAGATAAGTAAATTTTCTGGTGATATTTTATTATCCATGATTTAAATTATACATTAATTACCTTACCAGTATTTATAGCTATTTCATCAATGGCGTATCAACTTATTCCTTTTTTAATTATCCTTTATTAACGCTAATAATGAATAGTTGGCGTAATATATTTGTCCAACTAATTAGCTGTAAACAATATATTCGGGTGTAACCTGATCCAAAATTCAGACGATACCTAATTTAGATAATAACACAATAACGACATTATTATTTTTTTTTTTTGGTTAACAAATTTAACTGATAATAAATGTTGGGCAATATAAATAAAGTTTTATTAATAGAAAGTATGTATTAAGGTTTGTTAGTTTCAAAGTATTGATTTTAATTTTATAATTACATAATAATAAAACTAGTATAAATAAAGTACATTAATAATAAATAAATTAATAATTAACTTAACTAAATAGCAAAAAAAAATTACATGTTTACACGCTAATAACAAATCTGGTTTGTGTACCCTTATTTGTTCTTTCCCATTTTTCGGCCTCCCTCTCTCTTTTCAAATTTCTAACAGCACTTTCCAACTTTTTCTTTTCTTCCATTTCGCGATGTAATGCTTTTTGTTGTTCATCTTTGGATTCGGCCATCATTTTTCTAAATTCTTTTCTTAATGTAGAGGTCGTAGTGGGTTCATTAATGGCATCCATACCCAGATTTTTGATTTTTTCATCTGCCAATTCATTCTCTAAATTCTCACATTTCTTTTGTAATTTATCAAGAGAATTCTCCAATTTTTGCCTTTCACCATCAAAATCGAGGAAATTTCTTGTCAATCGATCAAATTCTTTCAATATCCCATCCAATTCTGCTTGCATTATTTCTGAACGTTTTTCTAACGCTTCCTCTCTTTCTGAAAATGCTACTTGTGCTTTTTCTAAAGTATTCTTTGTCTGTTTTAATTGTGCCTCAAGCTTCTCTTTGACATTCCGTAAATGTCTTAATTCTTCATGTGCTGCTTCAAGTTCTGCTTTAAGACTATTTGGATTACTTCCACCTGAACTTCCGTCGTCAGTTACAGCTTTCAATTCTGCAAGTTCTGACTTATATTTCACAATATCGCTCTCCAATCGATTTATTGTAACTTCCCTTTGATCCAAAGTTCTTGACTTAGATTTCAACATTTCCTCTAAATCTTTAACAGTTTGTGACACCATATCCTTCTCTGATACGGTATTTGTTAAATCATTACGAAGCTTTGTAATGACCACATCTCTCTCTTTCAATTGAGCTTCGTATTCTTGTTCTTGAGCGGCTAGTTGTTGTTGAAATTCTTCTTTGATAGTAGTCCCATCATTAACAACCTGTAACACGGATTGCCTTTTCATAATCGCTTCAAATTTACGTATTTTCTCTTTATTCGTCCTTAATTGTTCACGTAATGTCTCCAGTTCATTACGCAATTCATTTTCTCTTTCATTAGTTGATTGAACTTGAGATTTGGCGGATTGTGCTTTGCCTTCAAGGAATGATAACTTTTCTTTGGTTTCCTCAAGTTCTTGTCGTGTATCCTCCAATTCTTGCGTAATATTTTCTTGTTCTCTCAACTCAATCATTTGTCCATGTATTCGTTCCAAACGTGATTGAAGCAATGATGCTTGATCATGTAACCTTCGATTTTCTTCTCCGACAGCTCGTACTCTATTAATAAATTCGTCCACCCCGAATTTATTGTTATTCAAATTATCATATTCACCCTGATTAGGATCATCCTCAGAGTCAACATCAGGTAAGATATTAAATAATTGTTTCAAGTGATCCATCATTTCTTCATATTGTCTCGTCGTTTGTTTAAGCTTCAATTCCAAATTTACATTAAAATTATTTTCATCAATTCCTTTTTCACCTTGCCTTTGTTCCATATCTTTGATTTGTTGTTCTAAATCTTGAACCAATTTAACCTGCTCCTTCAACTCACTAATTTCATTTCCATTTTTGTCATTTTTGATTTTTTCATCTTCAAAAGCTTCTTTTGTTTGACGTAAATCACTTGTAACTTCTTGTAACTGATTTTTCAATGACTTGATTTCTTCTTCTGAATTATTCTTTACCGAACTAATTTCTTGTTCCATTTTATAAATTTTAAAAAGACTATCTTCCAACGCCTTTTCCAATGCAGTCAAATTCTCTACGATATTTTTGTATTGTTCTTTTTGAAGATGTTGAGTTGCTGTGGTCATTGTAGATAATCGATAGAAATTGGAAGCTCCTGAATCCGATTCATCGGAGTCTTCTTCAGATCTAAAACCATTATTATTCTTTCGATTATTTGCCTTGTGTTTTCTTAATACAATGTCTAACCGACTTCCAACTTCTTCAAGCTCAGTTCTTAATTCAGCTATCATCCTTTCACGAGATTCTGCTGCTGTATCATCAACTTTGGCTTTAAGTTCTTCAATATCTTTATCCTTTCGTTTTATAGCCATTCTTGCTTCTACTAGTGTTTGACGAACATTATGCAATGACTCCTCCAAAGTTGAAATCTTTTTCAACAAACCAGCATCCTGTACGTTACTTGTATCATTATCATTATTATTAATTCCCATGATTTCATTAAATAAACTATCAATTCCGTTACTATCATCCACCGATTGTTGTAAATTTTGTGGTGAAAAAGGAGGTTGTGAGCTTTTTTCCTCCAATTTTCGTATTCCAATGCTAAGTACCCCAGCCATATGTTGTAACAATTTTCTTTGAACTTCACCAGCTCGTTGTGTTAATTTCCATAATTCTGTCGCAACTTGATCTACTTTACGATTTGCCGTAGCTAGATGATCTGTCGCTTGTCTTGACAACCTTTTATTTGATGCATGAAGTCTTGCAAGTGAACTAGCCGCTTCCCGGATTTTTGATTCCAACGAAAGCTTTGAAGTTAATGCTGCGATGCGAGTTGTTAATAATGAATGATCCTAGAAGTAAAAAAAAGGTTCATAATTTATTAATAAATTCAAAATCAAAAGTTCAGACTAGTACATAATGCTTGCCCTTTTGAGTTCCTCAACTTCTTCTAAACTCAATATCTCGAAACTTTTTGAATCAATAACAGCTTGAGAAATCAAAATTTGCATCAACATTTCATCAGCCGTGTCCAAGAAAGAACTTCCTGGAAATTTCGGAGTATTCAACGAAAGTATAGCTTCAGAAGAAGCGATCAGATCACTGGCAATAACTAATGACGGCAATTTAATTTTTGGAGATCGAGGTGGAGAAGTATTACTTTTACTTATGTCTGAAGATGCAGGAAATCCTATTGAGGTAGGGGAGTTTGCGGTCTGAAAACTTTGATCTGAACCATGTTTCTTTGAATTATTCGTTTGAAGTGATTTAATAGAACCTTCGTATTCTTTATTAATCCGCTCGTTTGGTAAAGAAGGTAATTCGCGTTCCAAAGAAAATGAAGAATGTAATGAAGTAGTATCTACAGAGGGACGTGAGCGTATTGTGGGAGTTTTTGATGAAATTGTAGAATTAGATGCACTCTGAATTTGTACAGAAGATGTACTTGTTATCGTCATTGTACTCTTAACGGGTTGAACAATAGTAGTTTGCGCAGAACCACTTATAGGTGTAGCAGGGGCATTTTGATTTCCATTAACTGAGCCGCTTGAACCACTATGCCTTAATGGTGATTTTGCAGGAGCTCTTGGAGCTTGGTTTAAGAAATTTGGTTCAGTTGGTTTATTAGTTTTCGAAATGGACGGCGAGGGTTGCAAAGAGAACGAAGGATCTTCATGGTCTCGTTCTTGGACTACAGGTACTGGTTTTCGTCTTGTAAACGAAGAGTTATTATTATTTAAGGAAGACATTCTTTAGCATAGACTTTCATTGGAACAAAAGAATGGAATAAATTAATTTTTTGCAACTTAAAAAAAGAGAAATTTTATAAAGCTGGTGTTTTAATATTGTTATAATTATATCGATATTATTTTTTTTTTAGGAAATTAAACTTTATCCATTCAATCATTTTCCTGTTCAGAAATTTATACTTTGGTTGTTACACAAGAATTGAAAATTCTAACCAAGTATGAACGCTATACCAAAGAATCAATGCTAAATAAATTTAATAGTACATATTTGTAAGCCAATCCAAACTCAGTGTAACGTCTTGGATAGTATGAAACTTCGGAATGAAATGGTTTCGTTTCACATATTTGTTTAAAAATTATGGTCGCAATGGACGGGAAAAAAGTCACGGTCACCTGTAAGAAAAACCAATTGCGCTATGTTTGTCGACATGGTATTTTTTTAATCACATAAATACTGATTAAATCCTTAGATACTGATGAATTCGGTATTTGGCAACATCTTGCTGACGAATTTCGACAACACTTTCCTCTTCGAAATTTACACTGGAAGTCGGCAAAAGGTCCTTTGCGTAATATCCAAGTATTGGGCGTAGAACTAAAACGGTTTAACCCAGATACAACAGAACAGTCTCACATGAACCCCGAAACTTTACTCGAAAAACCATACCTAAATTTATATTTTGTTAATTGTGATGTGAGTATTAAATATTTTGAATATTTACACGTAGATCTTTTTTCCGTTTTATTAATTAGGTCGATTTACAATTAGGATAATGAAAAATATCGTCAAATAGTCAAGAACAAAATTCGGGAATGGTTAAACATTGTGGATTCTAAACGAAAACAAGAATGGCTAATTGTTTATGTTACCAAACAAGAAACTATGAGAAATGCCGCTAGATATTTTATGAAAGGGACTGTTTTTGATAAGATCAAAGCAGATTTTAATTCATCAAGACGTGAGAGGTAGAGGGATGATTTATTTATTTATTTTTTTCCTTAAAAAAAAACTAATATTTTATACTAATAACTTAATTCTTATTACTAGATGCGTGCAATTAAGATTAGCTGAAAATGATTCTGAGGATTATGAAGCTTGGCAAGAATTAATAACTAAAATTAAAGAAGGGATCTTGTGTAGTTTTGACCAGCATGTGATAACTTATGAAGAAGAAATTAAAAAGTTCGACTCTCAAAGAAGCATAGTCGGATGGAATTATTGTAGATCTTTTATTTTAAAAGTACATTTATAATACATAGATTCTTTTTTTTTGATTGGCAAATTATTAAATTATTTATTTTAGGAAAGATTGGCCTTGACCTTTGAAATTATGAATTTATTTGAGGAAGCTTTGGTTCAATATGATGAATTAGAAGCATCGTTTTTCCAAGTTTTGAAAGGTTTAGTCTGGTTTTACCGATATATAAATTTTTTTTGATGATTTTTTCTTATTATTATTTAATTTAGACAGGGCACTTGCTTGGTTTGGTAGCTTTGGTGCTACGGACCCAAATGATGATAGTGATAATATCTTGGATATTAAAAAGAAACAATATAGAGATCTTATAATGCAAAATACAACTTCTGAATTCGATTTCAGATGTTATCTTTTCGCGAGGCAATGTCAGTTATTAGGGAGGTTACATAGACCTGTTGATATATGTCGGAGGGCGCAATTTTTCATTTCAACCTTTTGCAGGGCAATTAAAGAGCATCAAGCAAATATAGGAGAGCATTTTTTAGAATCATGGATCTTTTCATCATGTATGAGTGTTGTTAACGAATGTGAGGAATTGGCTCCACTAACTTCAATGGATGATTCAAGCACGATCGCATTCAACGCTGCTAAGGGAGAGCTATTAGACTTGGCAAGAAAACAGGTTGGTCATTTTTATACTTTTTTAGGTGTTAGATTTTCAACCAAAATGTGACTTTTCAACGTATAAACAAAATATATATCGTGAGGAAAATTTACGGATAATTTGGATGAATATGAATTTAAAGATTTACCTTTTTTTTAAAAAAAAAGAAAATCAATTTTTTTTTAACGCGTCAACGTCTTTTTTTGATAGCTAGATAAAATTGGAATTTATTACGATCATTTGCCATCTTTGCTTCCGTTTACAGCATCACTAGGTGACGTAATTCCTCCAGCTACTGATGAAGAGGGTAAAGCCAAAAAAAATTTCTCTATTACGAATAAGGAATTGCAAGAAGCCATTAATTCGCAAAATGATTTTGATGTACTTTATTTAGTAAGCAATATCGATTTATTTGATGCAAATTTTTAATTGTATTATAGTATTATAACGTAACTAACATCGAATCATATCTTGTTCTACAAAAGTCGTTGACAAATAGAGCACTTGGAGCTTATGAAGGTAGTGCACGTCTTCGAAGTGTATTGCGATTACAAGGAGATGTTGCTGCATTACATTTGTAAGTAAATTCCTGTATTTTTTTTATTTAGAGACTTTTTTTATTTATTTATATATTTATTATTATTTTTTAGCCATCGTAAACAATATGACGACGCTGTACAAGTGATGGAAGATATTCCATGGCGTTATGGAGAACAAGGATGGACAGTTGTTGAAAACAATCTTTTATTCAAATTTGCCGCATGCCAAAAAGAATTAGGCCAAACTAGAAGATATCCTTATTCTTTATTCCCTCAAAAAATTAAAATAAATAAAATCTTTCTATCTTTAACATTTTAATTTCTAATTTAATACATATATGTGCTCATGTTTGTCATTATTGAAGAATTATTCTTTATTGACAATTGACGAAATCGCTTTTTACGCGGATGAAGTTAAAAAGCTTTGTGGAACATTAGAAAAAGGACAAGGTATGAGTTATTATTATTCTTAAGTATAATTAATTTTTTTTTTAAAAAAAAAATTAATATGTATCTATTCTAATTTACTTTAGAAATAAATCGTCAATTCAAACCAATATTTTCTATATCGGTAACATCCATTATTGATGATGTAGAAAATGAGGATGGTCCTTACCTAGCAGTTGAACTTACCAATAATTTGTCAATAGTATGATTATTCTTTCTAATTTGGGTTCAATTTCTGTATGTTACAAGATTTAATAATTAAAAATTGATTTTATATTTATATTAACAGTCTTTTACTTTTGATCAACTCGCGATTCGGTTGGTTAGCGGACAGAGTGAGGAGATTTGGTTTGGCGTTTGTAATGAAGAAATCAAGCCTGGTTTGAATTCTTATAAGCTTTATTCCGATGTAATATTATAATGTTATTTTATGAACTGTCATAGTAATGTAGTTATGTTATATTTATATATTTTCTAAGTATTTTAAATTTGAAATAATCAGAACAGTGCATCAGGAAATTATTATGTAGAGAATGTACGAATGTCAATAGGCAAAGTATCTTTCACTCACAATTTCTTGAACGAGAGCAAAAAGAAATCATTTAGGATTAACGAGCACCCATCAGTATTAAGAGCACAGATTATTGCTCCAAGCGAAAGTATGAATATTATTCTTAATTATTCGTTTAATTTTTTTACAATATGATTTATTTTGAGTTTACCCCCCCCCCCCATTTAGTTCATATTGGTGCACAACAATATTTTCTTGTTCGGATTTTTACTGGTCTGTCGTGTGTAAATGAGGGCAAATTGTCGTTGGAGGCAATATCGGAAGAGCTTTCATTCCCAAAATCTGAAAAATATCCCTCGGTCACCAAATCCGTTATCAGTAAGCATATTTTCATTTTCATTTTCATTTCATTTCATTTTTTTTTTTTAAAAAAAAAAGAGAATATATATATTATATTTCAAAATATGTGGTCCTCGTCCCAGTATCAAATCTCAACATGAAAATGCATGTTTTATTTATTCTTGTTCCTTATCGTTTATTCTTATGAATTGAGATCACGATATAGGTTTTATGGTAGAATTCTTACATGAGCAGAATTATTATAAAATCTTTTATGTTATTGAATTTGAATGATACAAATTCTATTAACACTTTGTTACTTTGGGTACGTTGGCCTACATATTTTGGAAATGACCATTTACACGAACTTTTATATTGATCATTCCTATATGTATTTATTATATTAGATGAGAAAATATCAGAAGGCATCGAATCAGAACAGGACTTGGAAGTATCTGAAGATGGTAAAATAAGAATACCTTCTTTTCAACCAAATCAATTAATAGAATTTCAGATTCCATATGACGGTAATTGGAGATCAGTCGAGCACAAGGTGTGGTGGTTGAGATCTCTATATGTTTATATCTAATACATCTATTAATTAATTTTCTGATCCTTTATCAGGTTAGAATATCGGTAGAATACAAAAGTAAAGGAAAACAAAAAGCCTTTACATCTGTTGATACTGTAAAAGTTGGGTTGCCTATTTCGGTTAACGAACTTAATATTTTCAGAGATGATTGGTATAAATTTTAGAATCGTTATTTGATCAGGATCTTGAGTTATGGATTATATTTTATTTTAAAAAAAATCCCTTGCTTTTTATAGTCTTTTCTTAAAAATGGATATTACATTACAAGGGACGGTTCCAGTGAGAATTTTGAAAACCGACTTGGTACCATCAAAAGTATATGAGGTTGCCAACGATCCATCCTTAAGTTTACCATCTTTGGTAGGAGTCATGTAATAAATAACTCATTCCAAAAAATTTTTTATTCGTATTAATATTTTAAATTTTTGTCATAAAAAAGAATTTATTTGGAAAACAGCATGCTTCATACGTGTATAAATTGACGAGATCAAAAGGTAACGTTGGCACACGGGGTTAGATTTCATATTATTTTAACCTGTTTATTCATATTTGTTTAATTTTGTAAAGATTATGATCATGGAGAGCATGTGAAGTCTGCAAGTACCCAAATCCATTTTGTAGTAACATATCGGTCACTTCAAGATGGTAGGTAATTAATTTGACTTATTCTTCGTTTTTAATATTTTTTTCTTATTTTCGTTAAATTAAACGTTACGATCTTTTCATAATTATAGAGGTTGAGAGATATGTGGAGCATACCTTGAATACTATTTTAAAGTCCAAAAAATTATTTCAGCATTCACAATTCCTTATTGAGAATGCCAAAGAACATTTATTGAAATCGGTAGATTATGTTTCATATGGTATGACAGACATCTTAGATTTAGGTGAATTAGATATTGCACAGTGTGAGAACCTCTTTGTAACCCATGGTGCTGCCAAAGATGCACTAATTAATGTAGTTAAGGAATTCTGGGAGGTAAATTAATCTTTTACTTTTATTATTATTATTATTTATGTCATTAGGTTTTTAATATTTACGTTTATTATCATGATTATGATTAGACAAGCAATCAAGTGTCTAATGAAGAAATTATGGCTGTTGGCGATGATTTAAAACATTCAATATCGTTCCCCGTAAATGTGCCATCGTCTAAGGTATATAGTTTCATTATGATATCATTTGCAAATTATTTATATTAATTTTTTTGCTTTCAACTTAGATTCTAAATACTGTGGAATTGATTATATCAAAATCACATGATTTGATCGTTGGGGAGCCATGCCATTGTCGACTAATAATTCGACATTCATCATATTGGAATTATACATCTACGGATACTTTGGAATTTTATTATGATGTTCATGTTGATTTTGACAATTGGCTATTGGCAGGACATAAAAAATTATGCTTTTCTTCAAAGGTGAGACATCTTATATACAATGAAAATTTTTTTTTTCTAAAAAAAAGTTTCTAAAATTTATATGTAATCAACAATTTAGGCTGGAGAAACGAACGAATTTCCTATTACACTCGTACCCTTGAAAACCGGGCACCTTCTTGTTCCTCTCATAAGAGTTACCAGCCTTGATTCACATACTTTTTCTGAAACTATTTATTTAAATAATGCCGAACAAGTTCTTGTTCGACCTCGTACGCAATCTGCGACATTCTTTATTGAACAACAACATCGAATTCACTCGATTCATTCGGGAGCAGGATTCGGTGGTCCCGGACATCATCATCATAATGAAGGGATGGAGAATGTTGAATTATAAATTCAATTATTTCTTTGCAATTTTTAATTTGATTTTATTATAAGTTTTTCGAGGGATCAGAGATCATTTAATAACTTAATAAATTTTAGATATATAGTTGTGCTCATAGTACGATTTTAATTATTCAAAAAATTTTAATATTTATTGAAGCTTTTGAAAAACTAACAAGTTTTTAATAGATAGATATTGAATAATCTAATGCCTATAATCTTTATAAAGTTTTTTATTTTCCTTATTGTATATAATATTTGCGTAGTATCGGCACCACTTTACGTATACTTATCTATATTACTATTCAGGGTTTGAAAATATAAAATCATTGTAATTTCAATTGATTTAAATACAAAAATAACTAATTTATTAATAGTATGTTATTTGTTCTTTTCTAAATTTTTCATAAAAAGAATCTGAAACCTTTACCTTTATAAGATAATATTTGCTTTTAATCCAATATTATGAAATTTACAATTGTAATCTATAATATAAATTTATAAGTTATATATAATATATATTTAAATCTTCTTGAAATTCGAAAATACCTTTAATAGCAAAATTATTATTAAATTGTGAAAATAACTTTTAATTAAGAAAAATAAATAAAAGTTATTTTAATTTTCAAAGCCAACTTTAAGAAAAGTTATTTTTAGATTTTGAAAGTAACTTTATTAAGAAAATAATACTAAAAGTTTTTAGACTCTTTCAATAATTTTTATTAAAATAATAATAAAATTTACCTTTAAACTTTAATAATAAAATAATAAAAGTTACTTTTAAACTTTAAAGATGATTTTATTAAAAAATCAAATTATAATAATAAAAGTTGTTTTTTAAACTTTAGCAGTAACTTTTATTAAAAATATTTATTTTCAAATTTTAAAAGCAATTATGTATTGTAAATTTATAGATTAATTACAAATTTACAAATTAATTATAAATAAGTTTAAAAATTTTACAAAATTTGCAACTTTTAAGTTTCTATAATTTATAAGTATATAATTATTTTTATATTAATAATACTTGAATATTATTATATTATTAAATTATTTTTATAAATAAATTCTTAGATTATCTTTATAAATACCTTAATTATTTATAAATGAATTGAAATATGATAAAATACTATTAAAATAAATAAGATTATTATAAATGTAAATAAAATGCTAATTTATTTTTTTTATTTTTATTTGATTTTATTTAGTTATAATTTTTCATTTATATAAAATTATTAGTCTGAAATAAATCAAAAGAACTATATAATTCTACGATTAGTATACAAAGTATATTATTATCTGCTTATTCAAACTTTGAATCGATATTGGTTATATAATCTGATATTATATAATAATTATATAATACATATAATAAAAATTTAATACATTAATTTAAATTAAACATTACATAATAATTATATATAATACCTATAATTAGAATTTCTTAAATAATAAAATAAACAATTATAAATAACGTTATAATTGTCATAATATTTACTATTATAATAATAAATTCTTTAACAAAAATATTTTCTCTCTTTATTTAAACTTTTTTATTAAAACAAAAAATGCATTTAGCTTTATATTTTTATATCATTATTTAAAAAAATTATTTACGTTTAACCTTATTGCAAAAAAAGCATTTCTATATTATTTAAACTTTCTTTTCTTAGTATTATTAATTTTAGATATTATAGAAAGTAGGCATTCTTCTACTTTTCTCTTTTATAATCTTTTGCAATTTTAATATATTGAAACCTTTCAAAATTAAACTACTTAAATATATATCACTAAATGATTAAACTCATAAAATAGCGATAAAAGATAAATCTACTGCAATATCTTTATTTTTAAGATCTATTATACCTTTTAGCAAGCTATTATCAGTTTAGATTTTTTTTAATATTATGGTATTTCATGTTGATTTTGTTCATATATATTTTTCTGCTATACCTCTGTTTTTCTTAGCATTAATTATTATTATAAACTCAATTTTCGTATTTACTGTATATTCATTTTTATATAAGAGATTTGCTAGGAAAATAGAATTTTAGGCATTTTTATTAAAATTTTAATTTTTATTGCATTTTAATCTAACATTATCAAAAATTAAAATGCAATAAATATTAAAATTTTAATAAAAAATACTTAGAGCTACATTTTTTTTTAGCAAACCTCTAATATTCTAAATTACTTTTACATTTATTGCTAGTTTTTATATTATTTTTTTCTTTTTTCTTTGATGTAAACTTGAAAGTCATTTCTTGTATTTTTTGTGATTCTTGTTTTTATTTATATGTAAAACATAATACATATTATTTATATTTAGTTGAATGATAGCAAATAGATAATCAATCAGATCAAATTTGAATTATTAGATTTGACCTAATTAATCTCCTATTTTTATTTTTTAAAATCAGATGATTTCGATTAATAATAAATAATGATACAGATAAGGATATTAGGATTATAATCATGATATTAAAAAATATTAATAGGATTATTCTTATTGATATTGTGAACGGATAAAATGTGATAAGACCTACATGACGTAAATGATCAAAAAATCTGACAAATCTGACATGTCTAACATTTCTGACATTTTCGACATGTCTGACATATATGATACATCTGACATAATCAATAAATAGGATATATTAGACAGATTAGACATTGTTAATGTGCGATTTTGGTGGATCGCTACAGTTAAACGAGGTGTTCGAGAGTTGTTTCTTTTTAATATACGTAGTAATTACTG